TCAAAGTCAACTCAGCAACTTGGCAAGACCCTGTCTCAAAATAAAATATAAAAAGGGTTGGGGATAGGGGCTGAGGTTGTGGCTCAGCAGTACAGCGTTCGCCTTGCATGTGTGAGACCCTGGGTTCAATCCTCAGCACCACATAAAAATAAATAAACAAAATAAAGATATTGTGTCTGTGTATAACTAAATATATACATATATATATATTTTTTTAAAGGGGGGTTGGGAATATAGCTCAGTGGTTGAGCACCTCTGGGTTCAATCCCCAGTATCAAAAAAAAAAAAAAAAAAAGAATATGCTTTCTTCTCAGTAAATCAGGGAACCTTCCCCAAAACAGACCACATTTTAGTCCACAAAATTGATTTGATTATTAAGTCCACAAATTTGATTCTTGACATCAAAAAAACTGATACATTCCCTTCCACCTTCTCTTATCATAATGGAATGAAATTGGCAAAAACTCTATAGAAACTATATAAACATACGGAGATTAAATAATACACTTTTGAATGATGAATGCATGACAGAAGAAATAAGGGAGAAATTTAAAAATTCTTAGATGCCAACAAGAGTAAGGATACAACATACAAAACCTCTGGGACACTATGAAGGCAGTTCAAAGAGGAACACTGAAAGCCATGAGTGCCTACCTAAGAAAATCAGAAAGATTCCAACAAACAACCTAATGATGTATCTCAGGGCCCTTGAAAAACAAGAGCAAACCAATTCTAAAACTGACAGAAGAAATAACAGATCAGAGCTGAAATGAATAAAATTGAAAATGAAATTAAAAAACAAAACAGAGGATCAATAAAATAGTCAGTTTTTTGAAAAGATAAACAAGATTGATAATCCCTTAGCTAAAATATGGAAACTAAAAGCATTTTCTTCAAAATCTGGAGAAAGAGAAGGATATTCACTATACCACTACTATTCTTTATAGACTAAAAATTCTAGGCAGAGCAATTAGGCAAAAGAAAGAAATAAAAGGGGTAAAAATACAAAAGGAAGAAGTCAAACTAGAACTGTTTGCAGATGGTAACATCCTACACTTAGAAGATCCAAAAAGTTCCAGAAGAATACAGACCAATAAACAAATTCAGCAAAGTAGCCAGTCACAAAATCAACATACAAAAATTAATAGCTTTCCTATACAMCAATAATGATGTGCTGAAAAAGAAATCAGAAAAACAATCCCATTCTCAAAATCCACAAAAATATAGATAAATAAAATACCTATGAATAAGCCGGGCATGGTGGTGCACACCTGTAATCCTAGCGACTCAGGAGGTTGAGGCAGGAGGATCATAAGTTTAAACCAGCCTCAGCAACTTGGCAAGGCCCTGAGCAACTCAGCAAGACCCTGCCTCTAATAAAATATATGTATTTAAAAAAAAAAAAGGCTGGGGATGAGGCTGGGTGGTTAAGCACCCCTGGGTTCAATCCCTGGTACAAAAAAACAAAACACAAAAAAAACCTATAAATAAATCTAAATAAGGAAGTGAAATACCTATACGATGCAAACTATAGAAAAAACTGAAGATATAAGAAGACGAAAGATTTCCCATATTCATGAATAAGCAGAAGTAATGCTATTAAAAATGAACATAATACTGAAAGTATAAACAGATTCAGTGCAATCCCCATCAAAATACCAATGACAATCATCACAGAACAAGGAAAAAAAACAACAAAACACAGTTTTAAAATGCCTTTGAAGAATAAAAGACTCAGAATAGCCAAAGCAATTTTTAGCCAAAAATGTCATGCTGGAAGCATCACAATACTGACTTCAAATTACACTACAGAGCTAGAGTAACAAATGCATGGTACGGGCAAAAAAACAGACACATAGACCAWTGAAGACACAGAACAGAAACCTACACCGATGTAGTCTTCTTATCTTTGACAAAAATGCCAAAAGCAAACACTGGTGAAAAGACAGCCTTTTTAACAAATAGTTGTAGGAAAACTGGCTGTCCCTGTGTAGAATAATGAGCCTAAATCCTTATCTCTCACCTTGCACAAAAGTAAGCTCAAGGAGATGGGGTTGTGGCTCAGTGGTACAGCGCTTGCCTCACATGTGTGAGGCACTGGGTTCAATTCTCAGCACTGCATAAAAATAAATGGATAAAATAAAGGTCCATCAACAACTAAAAAAAATACTAAAAAAAAAGTCAACTCAACATGAGTCAAAGACCCAGTAATTAGACCAGAAACTAGGCAACACCTAGAGAAAAACATAGGGTTAAATTCCAACATGTAGGCTCAAACAACTTTGTCAAAAGGATCTCTGACACTCAGGAAATAATCTCAAGAGTTAATAAATAGGATGGTATCAAATTTAAAAGCTTCTATACAGCAAAGCAAATAATTACGAATGTGAAGAAAGAATCTACAGAATGGGAGAAATTTTTTGCTAGCTACTCTTCTGACACAGGATTAATATCCAGAATATGTAAAGAATTCAAACAACAAACAACCCAATTAATAAATGGACAAGTGAACTAAATAGGCACTTTTCAAAAGAAGAAATCCAAATGGTTAACAAATATATGACAAATTGTTCAACACTGTTAGCAATTAAGGAAATAAAAATCAAAACTACATGGAGATTTCATCTCACTCCAGTTAGAATTGCAGCCATATCAAGAACACAAACAATAATAAACACTGGAGAGGATGTAGAGAAAAAAGAACACTTCAGCACTATTGGTGGGATTGTAAATTAGTACAATCACTATAGAAATCAGTATGGTAGTCCTTCAAAAGACTAGGAATAGAACTAACATATATGTCCTAGCTACACCAGTCTTCAGTATTTATTAAAGAATTAAAGCGGGTTGGGGTTGTGGCTCAGTGGTAGAATGCTTGCCTAGCACACGTGAGGCACTGGGTTCTCAGCACCATATATAAATGAATAAATAAAATAATGGTTCATCAACAACTAAAAAATATTTTTTAAAAAACTATAGCAACACATACATACCCATGTTTATAGCAACACAATTATACCCATGTTTATAGCAACACAATTCACAATAGCCAAACCACAAGGACCAAGACGATGAAACAAATATGGAACCCTGCTCTGACAATGGCAGATGACAGAAAAACCCCTTAAAATAGCTTATATGTACATCTCATCAAAAACACACAACCAAGTGCATGCATAAGATTGTCTCTGGGAATATGCTGCATGCAGAAAAGCAGAGAACACTGCACAGTGCCTGGTGAAGGCAGGCGGACCAGTCACTTACCGAAGGCAGTGGGCTGTAGAACTGATGAACTGTGTGCATGACATCCAAGAGCATATTGTGTCCAATGACAAGTTTTCCCTAAAGAAAATCAAGGTTAAGAAAAAAATTAACTAGGGTTTGAAAATAAAATGTATGCTTCAGATTCCATGAGGATTTTTTACTGAACTTACTTTTTCCACATTAAAAAGTTATAAGTATATGCAAATACATAAATATAAGCCATTTTTATTTCTCTGCACTTTGGGAGTATTAAATCCACAATGCAAAGTAAAAGTTTCAAATAATTTTTACTTCACTGATCTTTTTCTCTGATTTTYATCAATCTTGTCACCCTTAAGAATCAGAAGTAGTAAAAAAAAACTTTTCTTTTTTTCCTTTTCTTTTTCCAAGGCTCTATGTTGCCCAAGATGGCCTTGAACTCCTGGGCTAAAGTGACCTCCCTGCCTCTCAGCCTCCCAAGTAGCTGGGACTACAGAAATGAGCTGGCATAACAGCAGGAAATTGTAAAATTTTAATTGAAGAGTTTTTTAAAGGTAAAATACGAAAACCCTGAGTCCCTTGAATGTCAAATAATTTGTGAACAAAACTCCAAAAACATATGTATATGCTTTTGTCTATACAAATATTTTAAAAATTATACTTCTTCTTGGGGCTGGGGTTGTGCTCAGTGGTGGAGTGCTCGCCTGGCACGTGTGAGGCCCTGGGTTCAATCCTCAGCACCACATTAAAATGAAGGTATTGTGTCCAACTACAACTACAAAATAAATATTTAAAAAAYATATATACTTCTTGGGGCTGGGCTTGTGGCTCAGTGATAAGAGTGCTCGCCTAGCACTTGTGAGGCACTGGGTTCGATCCTCAGAACCACATAAAAATGAAATAAAGATATGTGTCCACCACCTACAACTAAAAAAAATAAATAAATATTTAAAAAATACCGAATGAATGATTTAATATATAAATAGGTATTATGGTTTAAAAATATATATATATATATATATACTTCTTAAAAACAACCCAATTATTTTAAAAGATAAGTTCATAACAATGTTAAAAGGTTAAAATAGCTAATTTCTTATTATAATTAACACAATAAATTTTCATTTCCTAGATTAACTGCATCAAAATTCAGAACATGTTCTGTGAATTCCATTCCAATAACATTTCACTGTTTTTTCAATCAACTGAAATAACTGTGGGTAAATTAAATTACTCCATGTGTGTAAAAAATAAACCACAAAATGGAATGTCAACTTAGATTTAGTTGGCCTGGTGATACCATATTCTTTTTTGTGAGGGTTGGTACCGGGGAATGAACTCAGGAGTGCTTGACCACTGAACAACATACCCAGCCCAATTTTTTATTTTATTTAGAGAAAGGGTCTCACTGAGTTACTGAACATCTCACTTTTGCTGAGGCTAACTTTGAACTTGCAATCCTCCTGTCTCAGCCTCCTGAGCAGCTGGGATTACAGGTGTGCACCACTRCAYRCAGCTGGTGAGACCATTTTTMACAAAAGCATTGGTCAGTACAGTGGAGCTCCATAATAAGTCCCAATGGGCCTTCCATATAACACTGCTGAATTCATAGGGCTAAACATATTTTTTCAAAGTAAATATCCTACATAAAATCTCCCAAATCTAACAAGCTAAGCTTTTGGCTCAGTATTTGGGCATATTCACAGTCCCTATACAATGCTAAAATACAAAGGACTGATACAGGGTAGAAGCGGTATGTAGGGAACTTTCAAATGCAACATAAATACTGATAAATGAGGAAGTTGAGAAGTGGAAAACAACATCTTGATCAGAAGATACCATGATAGAGAGAAAGGATGGGAGAGGAGGGGAGGAGTAGCGGGGATAGGAAGGGTAGCAGAATAGGATAGACAATATGATTGATGTATGTACATTCCATGTATGTATTACATGTCAAAATACATTTTGCTGTCATGTATGACTAAAAAAAAATAAAAATAAATCGTATGTAAAAAAAAAAAAAAAAAAAAGAAGAAGATATCATAAGGCCAAAGACAGGGAGAACTGCACATAAATATTGAACTTTTCACAGGTATGAGTTAGAATTCTGGTACTACTTTATGTGTGCCCCAAGTTGAAGCAAATATATGTAATGCAAGTTAAGAACTGGATTTCTCACTGTCAGAGAAAGAAGTTGCAAGTAGAAAAGAGAGTAGGCTAAAAACAAGCCCTGTGGTATTGGACTGGAATCTGAGGTATCAGTATAAAGGAATGGGTAGGGAGATCCACACTTGTGGATGTGCATGTATGTGTAAGCACCTCTGTACACACACAATCACCTCATGCATAACGTAACAGGGACATGTCCTGAATTATTCATCAGGCAATCTCACTGTTGGGTGAAATGACAGAATATACTTACACAAATCTGGACCGCATAGTCTACTATACACTTAAGACTATACGGTCTATCTGACTGCTCCTATTCCAGGATATAAGTCAATAAGGCATGTTACTGTGCTACATACTGTAGGCAAATTTAAGACAGTGGTATTTTTTTTTAATTTTTTTAATATTTATTTTTTAGTTCTCGGCGGACACAACATCTTTGTTTGTATGTGGTGCTGAGGATCGAACCCGGGCCGCACGCACGCCAGGTGAGTGTGCTACCACTTGAGCCACATCCCCAACCCTAAGACAGTGGTATTTGTGTACCTAAACATATAAAAGGTACTGACATAAATTTTTTAGCTCCATTATAATCTTAGAGGACCACCCTAGTATATGAAGTCCATCAYTGACCAAAACATACCTGTGCACACACAAAATACAAAGTGACCATTGCAGATAGGTTCCAGGATCTCCCATGGTCACCAAAATGCTTAGGTCCCTTACATAAAATGGCATATTACTTGCATATAACCTATGCACATCCTCCCATACTTTAAATCATCTCTAGATTACCTATAATACCTCATGCAATGCAAATGCCATATAAATAGTTGTTGTATTGTACTGTTTAGGGAATAATGACAAAAAAAAATCTGTTCACRTTCAATTTGTTTCTTGAATATTTTTAATCTGTAGTTGGTTGAATCTAAGGGTGTAGAACTCAAGGATATGAAAAGCCAACCGTACACACATACACCTACAGATACACAAAGAACCAGCTGTGTACATATGCGAGGATATGCAGACATACTGTTCTTCGCTCTGTCCATAGGCAGGGCCTAAAACCACTAACACAGCTGTAACACAGGACCAGATTGTGCTTCCAAAACACTACTCTCAGTCAAAGGAACCACGGCTCATGGGAGAAGATACGGATCCCTAAGCTAGGCCAGGGGAAGAAAACAAGATGAGCCTGGAACCTCCTGGGACATCCAAGAGTAAGGAAGTGCTCAAAAGGAAGGACATAGGAGTCGAGCTGAAAGGTCACCATGGCCAAAGGCAGTAAGTACACTGTGAGCAACAAAAAATTAGGCTATATTCTAGTTGAATAAAATAAATATCCGAGTCCCTACTCACATACATAAAAATGATTAAATAACATGGAATGAACATCTTTTCCTTATAGAATAATTTTAAAAACAAATGTAGAAAGAAAGAGGGAAATATAAACTTGCCTTAGATCTCCACAGCAATAAATGCTGCAGGTAAGACCCACTGACAAATACTAACACTAGTGGGCAAAGGTTTGAGGATTTTCATAGTCCCGAGGTATCTCCCCCAACATGTTAACCTCAGAGGAAAAACAGTAATTTCAGAGAACAAAGTCCAKCAGACACTACCTTAACCTGGTGACCAAGGTCAACATCATGAATACTGTTTCCTGTGGTGTTCTTATCAACACTGAATATCCTCAGTCCAAAGAAAACAAATCACAAAYGAGGAACCCTGGACAAAATGGCCAATACTCATCAAAAGCATCAAGGTTATGAAAGGCAGAGAAAGACTACTGAAATCTGCAGAAAACCAAGGAGAAATAACAAGTAAACATAATGCAGGATTCTGGACAGAATTCTGAAGAGAAAATGGACTTAATAAACAAACTGATGACATTCTAATAAGGGCTTTAGKTTAGCTCATATTATTGTGTGATGTTACTGTCCTGGTTCAGATAACTGCACAGTAGCAATGGCAGATGTTAGCACTGGGGAAAACTGTGCAAAGGGGTACAGAATTTCTGCACTATTTTTGGAACTTATCTTGCAAAATTAAAACTTCTTGAAAACTGTAGAAAAAAGAGATTTACTAATAGTGACTAGAAAATAATTTGGTGATATAAATAAATGTTTGGTGTCTATTGGGTTTATAGAACTTAATTATGTTAATATTTTTAAAGTGTGCTGCTTATAAACTTTAAAACATTAAATCACCAGTAAATAGGGCTTCTTCTCTTTGCAAACTTTGATGCTACCAACTATTAGCAATGTGTTATGAATTATTCCATACAAGAAAGATATCAGAGAAGAGCAAACACAGACAGAGCAACCTAAGGTATTTGAACATGTACAAGGTGAACAAATGACTCAATTTTGGAAAAGTTAACTAAATATCATGAGAACTACACAAGAGCTCAAAATCAACTGATGTCCTAAGCTCTGTATCTTAGAGCCAGCTACAATCAAACCAACCACAAATCTGAAGGGAGCTGGTTGAGTGTATGACAAGAGCAAATGTGGTCTCACGGCTGCTTCTCTGGACACCTATGACCTCAGCCACTACAAAGAGATTCATACTCTGCTTCTCTCCAGACTCATACAACTTCCTGTTCTGTTCAGTTCTGTTCAGATTACCTCACTTATTTAGCAAGAGAGCTCCTAGTAGGCCAGCCCTCTTCTTTTACAAGGTCCTGTTACTTGTGTTTATCCCCAAATAAGGACAATGGTGTGCTTCCCCACCCCACCCCCAGCGTCCCTGTGTTTATAGGCCTGCACCTGGTAGTGAGACAGCTGTAGAACTGAGAGGGTTTCAATGACCTTTGCGATTTGCATGCTTCCCTGATACAAAGCTCAGCATCTAAGGGACAAGGTGATTCTTTCTCAACAGCCAACTGCTAAAGGAAAAGAAGCCTTAGATTCCAGACAATTTAGCATCCAAGTAAGCAGGTTGACTAGAACAACCAGCACAACAACCTTGTTTATCTTTGCAAAATAGCAAATGTTTCTTTTCAAAAAGGAAGTAAGGAAAAATATCTACCACAGACCCCTCTAGCAAATTTACACCAACAACCAAAGCATTTTTTAAATGTATCAAATACTATTAAGGCTACTGGATATAAGAATCAATTACAGTTAAGCAGGAGACACCATTATTTTTATCCTCTAGAGTCTTCCCCTTAGGGAATTAATCAATCAAATATCTGAATGTTTCTTCCTTTATTCCTTGCTTTCTTATTCTATTTCTTATGGTTTTGAGAATAAAAACCCTAGTTTCGTGTAGCCATAAAACATCATCATTGTACAATCCCATGCATCCTTACAAGAAAGACTTTCTGAAAAATGCTTTGTATGTGAATCAGCAGTTATGATCTCACCAGGCACATCACGTAACAGTCTATCCTTGTCATTCTAACTCCTTCCTCCACACCAGGTAAACATTCTAAATGACMAAACTGACTACTTTGCAATGGTAATTTGGCAGGCCACCTAATATTATATTCAGCAGTCTAGCCAGAAAGAAAAGAAGCCTGGTTTGCTTACCGAATTAGCAATGGCATGAATGACTCTTGAAAATCCTACAGCATCATTCAGTTCCTCCTAATTAAAAAACAAACAAAATTATTGATGTGCACTATATTTCTTATTTGAATGACCTAAAAACCCTAGCCAAAAAAGGGAAAAAAAAAACTTCATATACCATCATCATTTCAAATAACTATATCTAAAATATCTAAAATGATTTATGTATATATCTTTCTTCTGTTTTAGAAGTCAGAAAAAGCAAGTGCCAAATTATTCACTAGTTACTTCAATAAAAGTGCCTAGAATTTTCTCATCACTTCACATAATTTGTTGAAATTTCCAAGGCAATCAAGTGTCTTGAAGGAAAAAAAAAAAAAAAAATCTTTTTTAAAGTGGCCACCTGCTGGTTAAACTCTATAATACATCACTTTCTGAGGAAACCCATCCAGCAAACTGATCCAGAATTCCCGATTTTTTTCCTTGACAAACAGCAGTTTTACAAACTTATAGAGCACAACTTTGGACCTATCCCCACCCTCACTTTCTCCTCTCCAATTTTCTTTCCAACAGTGTTTACAGAGGCTCCATGTCTCTCCTACCTTGACCTCAGCCCTTAACTGTCCTTTTTGTCTCATCACAGCTAACTTGCTTAATTAACCTCTCCACTCAGTTCCAGCTAACTTCTAGGTGCTCCCAGCCCTCTGCTCTCGGGCTTCAATCTCACTGAAATTGCTCATCAACTTAAAATGAGTCCCAAGGCTAACAAGTGTTTTCAAGGATGTAGAGAAAATGGAACCCTTGTGCACTGTTGGTGGGAACATAAAATAGCACCATTGCTATGGAAAAAAGTGTTGAATTTCTTTAAAAAAAAAAAAAAAAGCATACAAATATTTGCATACTCATGTTCAAAGCAGCATTGTTTACAAAAGCCAAAAGCAACCCAAGTATCCAAATGAATAGATATAGAAAATGTGGTATATCTATAAAATAGAATCTCAGTCTTAAAAAGGAAGGAAATTCAGACCATGCTGTAACATGGATGAAGCCTTCCTTGAGGCCATTATGCCAAGAGAGTAAGCCTGTCACAAAAGGACAGATACTATAAGACTGCAATTACGTGAGATACTTAGAATGGTCAAATTCACAGAAACAGAAAGTAGATGATGGTTGCCAGGGCAGGCGGAGGAAGGGCATGAAGAATTTTGTTTAATAGGTACAGAATTTCAGTTTTGCATCACGAAAATAGATCTGGAGATGGCTGATGGTGATGGCTGCACAATAATTTGGATATACTTACTGCCACTGAACTGTACATTTGAAAACAGTTAAGATGGGAAATTCTGTGTTGTATTTTTAACAAAATTAAAAATAAAAAAATTGGGGGTTGGAGATATAGAACTTGTCTAACATGTACAAGCCCCAGGTTCAATCTCTAGTATCAAATAATAATAATGATGATGAATAAATAATTTTAAAAATAAATCAAAAACAGAGGCTGGGGACAGAGCTCAGTGGTACAGTGCCCAAGCCACATCCTTAGCCCTTTTAAATTTTCTTTTAAATATTTCTAGTTGTAAATGGATTATACCTTTATTTTATTTATTTTATTTTTATGTGGTGCTGAGGATCAAATCCAGGGCCTCACACATTCAAGGCAAGCACTCTTCCACCAAGCCATAACCCCAGACCTTTATTTTTTATTTTATTGCTAAGTTGCTTAGGGCCTGGCTAAGTTGCTGAGGCTGGCTGTGAACTTATGATCCTCCTGCCTCAGCCTCTCAAGCCCCTGGGATTACAGGCATGCACCACCACGTCTGGCGAGGTCTTTTTTGATTGCTGGTTTGTTTGAATGGGGCCTCACTATGTTGCCCAGGCTGGCCTGGAATTCACAATACTTCTGCCTCAGCCTCCTAAGGAGTTGGGACTTGTTCCTTGCCACACAGCAGGTATGGCCTTTCTGCCCACCCCCTCAGAACAGAGCAACAGAAAACAAAAGCACTGCACTACAGTCTAGAACCAGTTTCTCAGCAAAGGAGAGTTCCACAGCCCATAYCATAGTCATCTGACCCCTTTGGTTTTGGTGCTGCTCTTTTTGCTGTGGAGGACAAGGACCACAGATAGGAGGCACATTTGGCTAACCTTTATTTCTCTTGCAGATATAATGTAATTGTGAAAGTGGATCACTCTGTTTTTACTCATGTCTTAACATGTTCTAAATGTGCACATACCTGACATCTGCCACACCCAAAATCACTTCTGGTCCACTCTACCTCCAGCCCACACCATCTAAATGAATGGACTACAAYCCATCTAGTCGCTCAAATTTAGAGCTAGAGCATCTTCCTTCTACCTTCCTCTTTCACCAGCCACATCCAATCACAAACTCACAATTCTTCTGTGGTAGAAAACTGTTCATTAAATTTTGCTATACACAAAAGGGAATAGTCGATATGTACATTGCTACTTCCCACCCAAAGGAAACACAGTCCTATTACCTGTTCTTTAGCATGTTTTTGCTGTTCTCTTTTTTTCCGCTCTTCTTCATCTACTTTGCTGATAACTATATATCGCTCCTTCTAAAAGACAAAGCAGATATATAATTTTCTGGATGTAACTTGACCCAAAAAGTCTGAACTCTGCTACCATTAGAAGTTACCATTTTTATCACTGCACCAACTTTCATGGGCCAAAAAGAACAAAAAGTGCCTCAACATGCCACCAAAAATTGAAATAATGCACTAARAAACAAAAATTTCCTATCTTTCCATGACATTTTACCATGGTTAAAAAAGATAGACATCAGTTTAAAATATCAACAGACTACAAGAACAAGACATTTTCCATAATGAACACTAAAARGTTACATGGCCTTTGAATATGAATTCCTAAACAATTAGTTTTAAAGAGAAAGTTATTTATTATATTTTATGAACATGAGGAAACAACCTGGATTTTCTGGTTATAAGCCAGAAAACTAGTTCCTTCCTTCTCATATACTGCATTTTGTGTCCATTAATCATACCACCAAATCTTCCATGTCAGAGTTTGAGGTTTATCTTCTAACAAAGACTGTCTTTAACRTATGTAATCCATAATTTGATATTTGACTTAAAACAACAAGCAAATTCAAAAATCCTAAAATTTTTCAAAAAAACAAAACAAACAAAAAAAACCTATCACTAGCACCCATCACAGTTCTATCAGTGCTATGCTTATGACTCAAGTTCTAAAATTTAATTTTACCTGCCAACATAACACAAAGTTGTTCTGTTCACATGTAYCACAGCTTTCTGCCACAGTATGAACATGAAATAACATTTATATATCATCAAGTTTACAAGGCATGTTCACATCCATTTATCCACTGGATCACCACAAACATCCCGAGATAGGTATAGGTATCCTCRTTGTCATGCTCAACCGAATGTACAAATGAGGAAAATGAGGCTCAGAAAGGCACAACAACTCGCCCAGGTTGCCCGCTCAGAAGTGGGTGGAGCTCAAGCATAACTCCTGACTTTCAACACACCTAAGAATCACCAAGTATGTCTGATGTTAGCCCTGAATAATCCTGGGGTTACCTTTTCAGTTTCTAAAGTCTCAACATGAATGCCTTTGGGATACCTAAAAGAACAAAAAAAAAGGAAAAYAGGATATCAGTAGATGAATCAATGACAGCTGAAACCCAAAGTATTTTAAAAGCCACTACACTGCTTAAAGTAAATAAAACAAGTTTTGTTAAGATGGAATAATTATCCTTACAATGAAGACTTTATAATAAATCTATCCATAACATCTCAGCTGCATAATATTTCCCTGTCCCTGCTCTTAAACATTGGCAAAGGAAGGTATCAATTTCAAATTAATTTGGGGGAACATGTATTTTCTAAATTTCTTGCATCTTAATACAGTCAACCACCACACAGTCAAATCTTGCTTCCAAATATAATTATGCGTATTTCCTAACTGAAAATGTGAAGGTCTCTTTAGATTGCACAGCAAAAAAGGGAAAGTTTGAGATGGCCCGCTCTGCCGTAGTTTGGCATGGCAGTTTGCGTCAGCCAAGGAGAGGATCTAGAACACACAATGAGTAAGATGCAACAATAACTCGACAGGAAATTGCTCCCGTTTTGTTCAAAGTATATTCCCAGTATAATCTCAGTGGCAGAGTCTAACATAAGATCAAGGACTCCAAAATCAAACGCAAATGCTCATCTGTCTAGTACCATTGCTCAGTTTTTAGTACCATTGCTCAGTTTTTGAGTTAGAGAAACCAAGGGAAACATCCTCAGAAAAACACATGCACAAAATGTTAGCTGTGATTTCAGATTTATAGACCTCTAAAGCCCACTCAAAATGTAACCCCAAGTCAGAAAACCCTGCTTTAGAAAAAGGACTCAGATATCTGAGTATTTCCTAGGTTTAAGAATCGAGTCTTTATCACATACCTTCAAAACAAAAATATATTGTAGATATATCTCCAAAGCTTAATGGATAAAACCAAAAGAAAAAGGTCTTAAAGCATCCAGAGTGATAACACAGAAAATTAACTAAGTGGGTTTTCACTTCAGAAAGAATGGGGAACTCTGCATGGTTAAAACATCAGAAACTGCAAAATTAAAAAATGAAATAAGAGTAACAGGATTATATTTTTTTTTTTTAAAGAGAGAGTGAGAGAGGAGAGAGAGAGAGAGAGAGCGCGAGAGAATTTTTTTAATATTTATCTTTTAGTTCTCGGCGGACACAACATCTTTGTTGGTATGTGGTGCTGAGGATCGAACCCGGGCCGCACGCATGCCAGGCGAGCGCGCTACCRCTGAGCCACATCTCYAGCCCCACAGGATTATATTTAATTTTTAAATTCAGGGTCCTTCACAAAGCTCTCATATACAATACAAACACTTACTTCCAGCTCAAAGTCTGATAAATTAGTTTTCTCTGAAACCTATAAAAAGAAAAAAAAAAACAATATTGGCTGAGGTCCACCAAAAGTAAACCCTAACTGAGCAGGCATTGATTGGGAAAGATTTAATTCTGAAAAGAGTCTTCATCAGAACAGACAGGTGATATACAAACAAACAAGAGCTTTGAGGTGGGAAGATTCCTCCTCACTTGTCTTAATTGACATTTTATTTAATATTATTATGCTACTTTTAGCAAAGAGGTAAAGTTCTTATCTAATCAAAATATTACTTCCTGCAGCTCCATAAGGAGAATTTAAAGTAACCAGCTACATTAAAACACTTTGGTAAAGCTTGTCTTAAAGTAAAAGGGAAAGAAGATGCTTAAGCTACTGTCTTTGAAATGCACACGTTTCCCACCACAGAGAGAAGTTAGAAGGAGAGAAGCAGCCTGAGAGAATTCTCTGCTGCAGCCTTCAAGTGCTAAGCACTCCTCCAGGCCAAAGCCATCACGCCACTTGTGAGCATAGTTAAAGTCAACCTGCACAACAGTTTTCTCCCCTCCAGGGTCAGGACAAAGTCCTCATTCAGTGTCTCCACAGACAAGTGTCCCACTATGTAAATGCTAAAACTTGTACTTAAATCTTGGAAACATACCTATAATAAGAAGGGTATTTATAAAGAAGTTTTAAGAAGACCAAATGCACCAAGTGTCAGAAATCATCTACTTTTCCATAAAAAGAACATGTGAAACTATGAAGGACAACTAACCCAGTACACGGCTCTAAATCCAAGTTCTTGTTTTCTTCACTTTGTAATAAATCTTCTATTTTCTCTCTGAGGAATTAGAATAAGACCATGACCATCAGAACCTTGAAGAAATRAACTTATCAACCAAAAGAATAATCACACTCAAAAGCAGTCTAAACATAAGAACATATATTTCTTATGCATATAGTTCTTACATTTGTACATGCAGAACAGAGTAATTTTACCAAATTATGTAATGACTTTTTAGTTCAAAAAGTAAAGAAAATGTTTTATTTTGGCATATGCTTTGGGCAGATTTATTGTCACTGATGAATTAGTRACAACTTCTCAACAATTCATCAATACCAGTGATTTAATTTTTGACTTTTCTAGTAAAGCCGTTATACCGTTATCTAAACTAAGCAAGACCAGATTCTTCTCCAGTGGCACAACGGTTTGTCAGAAACCTCACTGCCACAGGAAAACCACAAATGTGCTGCAGCCTGGATGGGCCTGATCCACTCCTTTGCCTTCAGGGAAACTGGACATGGCCTGTCAGGCCTTGATCCATAYAGGTCTGCTCATTTGCTGAGGTGTCTTGCCAAGTGACATGGAGCCAGTGTAAGTATGATACACAGGACACTATTTGCAATTTTCTCCTGTTGCACAAATTCAGATATGCAACAATTAGATCATGCCACTCACAACACTACATACACCCCACATGTGTACTCTGTGTACAACAAAAGTGTGACACAGATGGCCTTGGTGCACACATGGTTTCAGTTTGGGAACTTACACCACTTGGTCAATAAACTTCTTCTGATCCTCAGGGATCGTCACAGGACATTTTGAGGCATTAGGAGATACATATGCCAGAGATCCGGCACCATTGGCCTGAGAGCGTTTTTCATCATACTGCTCTCTCAACTGTCTTTCTTCTTCCTGATTTAAATATGGAATTCCTAAACATAATTTTTAAAAGAATGCATTAGCAGAAGTAATTGTTTCACATAAAATTTTTTAACAAACTAAAAAAGCTTATACTACTCAGGAAAGACATATTTAACTACATCTAAGAAAATCAACAGTAAACACAAGTGATTTTGAAATGTTTGTTCATTCTTTCATTCATTTATTCATTCTTTTTATTTTTTAATTTTATTTATTTATTTGTTTGTTTGTTTATTTTGTGGTGCTGCGGATTGAACCCAGGGCAGCCTACCAACGGAGCTATATCCCCAGCCCCTTCATTCTTAACAAATATTTATCTGGCACTCATGCTATGTCAAGCATTGTAACAGGCGCTGAAGAACTAACAAGCAGATAGATCCATCCTGCTCTGTAGTAAGGGAACTATTTCTTACCAGATTATCAAAAAAGGCCACTGAGAGGGAAAACCCAAAGGATGAGAATGAGTCAGATATGCAAAGAGCCAGGGGAAGAGTATTTCAGGCAGAGGAAATGAGCCTAAATGTCCAGAGGATGAAAATGGCTTGAATTTTTCTAGAAACTCAAAGAAAGTGAGTATGGCCAGGACATGGTGAGCAAAAGGGGATGGAGATGGGATAGAGCAAGATTATATAGGTCCTTATAGAGCTTGGTAAGAAATTTTTATTCTAAGAAGAAAGAGACATCAACAGAAAATGTAAGCAAAATAAAGACATTGTATGCTTCATGTTTAAAAGATCATGTGAATTACTATGAGTGTGGAATCAGGGAAACTGGTTAGGAGCAACTGTCCAGGCAAGAAATGACAGCTCAGAGCTGAGATAGCAAACTTCATATTAAAGGGACACACATTACATATTTCAGGCTTGTAAGCCTTAGGAGGGCATCTCTGTTGCATACTCAATCCTGCCATTGCAGCACAGAAGCAGCCAACACAACATGCACATCTGAGAGCACACTATGTTCCACTAAGATGTTATTTACAGGTCATCTGTGACCTGGCTTAGACCATGGAGACAGAATAGTAGATGGAGACAGTGCTTTTTTGAGATGGTAAAAAAAAGAACCACAGGTGAAAGGTAAAGTGAAAGGCAAAACTGAGACTGACACCTAGCTATCTGGTGAAGCAATTGGAAAGAAGCGGGGAAAGTAGAGTTTGGGAGCCCAAGAAGTAGAAATCAAAAGCTACCTTCTGGGCATAAAAAAATCATCTGAGGTGGGCTGGGATTGTGGCTCAGTAGTAGAGCACTTGCCTAGCATGTGTGAGGCACTGGGTTCAATTCTCAGCATCACATACCAATAAATAAATTAATTAATTAATTAAAATTTTTAAAAAATCATCTGAGGGTATATAATTAAGAGTTGCCTATAGCTCAAGAAAAAGGTGTTGTGACATAAATTTAGTTACCAACAGGATATAAGTAGTACTGCTAGGTACAGCAGCCCACACCTATAATCCCAGCTACCTAGAGATAAGGCAGGAGGATCACAAGTTCAAGGCCAGAAAGACCCTATCTCAAAATAAAAATAAAAAGGGCTGGGGGTGCAGCTCACTGATAGAGCACTTGCCTAGCGTGTGCTAGGGCCTGGGTTAAACTCCCAGTATGGGGAGGAAGAAAAAAAGATATGGGATGTTAACAAACTTTGTAGAAAGAATGATGGAGGGCTGGGGATGTGGCTCAAGCGGTAGCGCGCTCGCCTGACATGCGTGCGGCCTGGGTTCGATCCTCAGCACCACATACAAAGATGTTGTGTCCGCCGAAAACAAAAAAAAAAAAAAATAAATATTAAAAAAAAATTCTCTCTCTCTCTCTCTCTTAAAAAAAAAAAAAAGAATGATGGAATTAGAAAAACACCATTTACCAAAAATAATAATTGTCTGAAGCAAGAATCACTGATGGATGGTAAAACTAACTGGCAAGAAAGGTGATCCAAGCTAACCTCACCAAGAGTGACACCAATTGTCATCAAGAGCCACCTGATAACAGGGCACTGAGAACACATAAGATGTACTCCTAGCAAAAATGAATTAATGGGAGAGCTCTAGCCAGGCATGTGCCAGGCTCTGGATCTGATCCCCACCGCCACACACACCTATGAACGTAAAATGCATCAGTTTTAAAAATGAAGCCATGAGGCCATGGAACCTACAAACAACTAGGGAAAGTATTATTCAGAAGCCGGTGAGCAAGAAAAAGCTAATACCAAGAGTGAGGAGCCAAGAGTGAACAGGAACCAAGCCGAAGAACGAAGGGTGCTAAGGCCCGGAGGACAGTGSTGGGGGCAAGAGAGAGCAATCAACAGGGTCAAATTCTACCAAATTCTACCTTTTTGATTTTTATTTTGAGACAGGGTCTCATTAAATGGCTAAGACTGGCCTCAAACTTGCCATCCTCCTGCCTCAGCCTCCCAAGTCACTGAAATTACAGATGGGCACCACTATAGCCAGCAATACAGCTGCTTTTTCAAGTACTATACCACTTGTCACACAGCAAGAAAATAAGGACACATTCCCCACAGGTGGTCAGTTAGGCCACTAAGTCACATAGTGGTGGAATAAATGACTCTCAATAAAATCAAAGCTTGAGAGGTCTCACTAGAATTCCACAAAGTAGCATCTATTCTCCTGCTCAGTTCACGGTTAACTAGGTTTAAAAATAAAATCATAACAAGAAAGTTGAAAAAATTTCTAACATTATATATGGTGAACTGGACTCTTGAAATTTTTGTTGCACACAGAAAGTACAAAATGGTAATTCCCAAGCAAATCCAGATTCACTTTCCCTGGACATTTATAAACTCTAAAGATAARTCACAATCTTACCATTCCGAAAAACTTTATTAAAATCAAATCCTTGGCTTGCCAGAAAGTCAATGCTGGAGCTCTGAAACATAAAAACACACATTTTGGTGATGTTAGGAGTACGTATGCAACGAGAGCAGAGCAACAGCTCAGCAGACAGGCAGGCAAGGAAGTGGCATGTTAAAGGTCAAATGACAGTGGATTTCYCATCCACAGCAGCCAAGTGATCCGTTCATTTACTTCAAATATTTGGGTTCTTCTTGATAACTTATAAAATAAACACTCTTTTATTTATAGATTTTTTTTTAAATACACTGAATGAACAAATATTCTCCCAGTGGGCAGAAAGCTCCTGACCTCTTGACTGCTGCACTGACTAGAAGACTATAAATAGAAATAAAATGCATTTATACAACCTTACCCTAGATAGAAGTCTAAGGAAGCTCATATGTGCAGGTTACAAACAGCAATCCCCACTCCAAATCAGATATTGAAAACGTCAAATCTTAACTGGATGTCTTAAAGTTCAAGATCAAAGACAGAAAAGTTCCTGGCAAAAGGCCTTATCAAGCGAACACTTTTTTTTTTTTTTTTTTTGGTACCAGGTATTGAACTCCGGGCACTCAATCACCAAGCCACATCCCCAGCCCTATTTTCTATTTGATTCAGAAACAGGGTCTCACTGAGTTGCTTAGCACCTCACTTTTTTGCTGAGGCTGGCTTTGAACTCTCAATCCTCCTGTCTCAGCCTCCCAAGCCACTGGGATTATAGATGCGCACCACCACACCCAGCTAAGAAAATACATTTTAAATCTAAAATTGAGGGCTGGGGATGTGGCTCAAGTGGTAGCGCGCTCACCTAGCGTACGTGAGACRCTGGGTTCAATTCTCAGCACCACAAAAATGTGAAATAAAGATACTGTGTCGGGCTGGGGATGTGGCTCAGGCGGTGGCGCGCTCGCCTGGCATGCATGCGGCCCAGGTTCGATCCTCAGCACCACATGCAGGCAGGGATGTTGTGTCCGCCGAGAGCTGAAGAATGGATATTGCAAAATTCTCTCTCTCTCTCTCTCTTTAAAAAAAAAAAAAAAAAAAAGATACTGTGTCTACCTAAAACTAAAGAAATAAATATTTTTTTAAAAAGAARTGGCTTTCTTAAAAAAAAATCTAAGATTGAGTGGAAATATGCGAGTAAATTTAAATTAAAAAATTAATAATACTACAGATGGTACACAAACGCAGCAAAATCATTAAGTTCTTACTCAAATTGACTGAATAGAAGAAAACAACATTGTAGTGACTCAATTTTTATTCTCATGTGAAGTCAGAACATTGGCAGGCGGCAAACCTGAATCATTTTAATCTAGTCCCTCGTAGAATTACCTTTACTGAACCAGACTTGGCTATTACAGCCTCTGTCTAGATGGATTGAAGGGCATTGTACCAAACAGCCCACTGAGCTCATCACAGTACTCACTTTAGAGAAGTGGCAAGGTTTTCAACATTAATCATTTCTTTATGATTCAAGGGTAGATTTGCTGGGAAAAGCTTTAATTCTCCAAGTCCTGAACTGTTTTGCTCCTATGGACCACCAAAATGAAGTGTGTGCTTCCTTCTTTTCTCAGCCTTTAGGAAACACAACAGTCCCTCTTGTCACAGAATCTACGTTCTAATTATTTCCTAGTAATCCATTTTTTTCTTCCAATTTTTCATTTACTTTTTAGAAAATCTTATGTTCAAACATAAATACCATATGTATCTTTCATACATCAACACGAATCCTTTTAAAAACATAGCAGGATCTAAAAGGACAATCTTATCACAGAGGAACACACACAACACATGGGCTCACATGCAATCATTTTCCATCCACTGAGGGTACAACAATGACATTCTCCCCACCCCCACTTATTTTTTACTCTGAATGAACCAAGACATGAAGTCTTTGCCTTGGCCCACTAACCTCCTTTCTGTTTGCCATGCCTGAGTATTCTCATAATTCTGTCCACCTAAAAATGCCTTCAAGAAAGAGGTACCAAATGATGACTATGGAAAGGCATTTCCATCCTGACAATACTAGACTCCAAACTGTCCTGCTTTCCTTTAGTTCCTTAAATCCAGAGTTGAAAATTCGCCTATTTCTTTTTCTAAGCTATTTATTTTCCAATCAAAACAACACATTTTGGAGCCAGGCGCAAAGGCACATGCCTATAATCACAGCAGCTAGAGAATCTGAAGCAGGAGGATCTCAAGTTTGAGGCCATCCTGGGCAACTCAGCAAAACCCTGAGCAATTTAACAGGACCCTGTCGCAAAACAAAAACTAAAAAAAAACAAAACCCATACACAATTGCACAATCATATAGATGTACTTAATACCAATGAAACAGACACTTGAAAATAGTTAGAATGGACTTTCTAGCTGACACATTTTGAGCTGCTTTCCTCCTCTGCCATACCCTTCCACCAGGAGGTCCTGCCTCACCTTGGGCCCAGAGCCATAGAATCAGCTATCTATGGTCTAAGACCTCTGAAATCAATCTTACCAGCTTCTATGAACAAGCTAAAGTAAGAAGAATTTATCCAAGACCACATTTGTCTAATTGTCATGGCATCCCCTTAAGTTTCTGAAATTTCCTGTAACTGCCCAGTGCTACAAAATTTGGCCCCTAAACACATTGCATTCAAGTCCTAATCAGTTTCTGGCTCTCATCTCTCCCCATTTAAAAAATAAAAGATATTGCTTCTTTCTACCCTCCCACCCCCGCAAACCCCATTTAGATCCATTCTCTACAGTAGCATACCAAAATTACCTTCCAAAAAAAATCAAATCTTATCAAGTAAGTTTTAGGTTTCAAATTATTCTTGCTTTAATTTCCCCCTAAAAGATGAGTCATATGCTGTGCCAGTTAAGATTCTTAATTATAAACTCTTAAGCCTGTCTTCCAGTCTGCTCATCTGCCACCTTCTGTAACATAACTCTGTCTCCGGCTCTTGAAACATCTTACTATTTCAACACACGGTGCCTTTCACACTTCTGTGTTTTTGCTTCTTTTTTGTTTCCAATGTGGCCTCCCTGCCATTTCACCAATATGTTGACTAGCTCAGGCCTCAAACTAGGTCCATCTTTGAGCCAATCACTGTTGTCACGTGGGTGGGAGTCCTCTCATGAATGGTCAATTAGTTCTCCACCCTGCCACTAGCATCACCTCTCACAACAACAACAAAAAAGTTCCCAAGTGATTATAGTGTGTGGCCAGGTTTGTGAACCACTGAATTCCACCAATTCAATTTCAAGTAGCTGCCACTCATAGTGGGAGGGGTGCATGGTTAGAGAAGCAATCAGGATGCCCTACCCCATCCTTTGCTGAGAGGACAAATGTCTCTTAAGGAGAACTACCCTGAATGCATTAATGTTTTACAATGAAATTGTACTTTACCAATCACATCCCTTTCATGAGTTGGAAAAAACAACAATGACAAAAAAGAGAATATGGTAAATTTTATCACGTATATTTTACAACTTTTTCTAAAAAAACTATTTGTGACTTACCATCCCCTACCTTAGATTTATATTAAATGTACCTTTTTCAAGATTTAAGAGATGAGTGTAGCTATTTAGTGGACAATTTGAGGCAYCTATCAAAATTTTAAATGCAAATGTCCTATGACTTCACAACTCTTAGGAAATCTATTCTATAGAAAAATTCCTACATATACAAAAAATGCACTACACACATATGCTGAATATGGTATTATTTATAAACAATAGATATTCTCTAAATTCTGATAAAGGAAGTGATTAAATTACACATATCCATAAAAMATACCATAAAACATACCATAAACATATCCATACCATAAAACATAAAGATATTCTGTTGAAGGGAAATGAAAGTTATATAAAATGCAAATATTAGTATTTTATTATATTGGGGGTGTGTGTGTAGACATGGGTATACGTATATATATATGCATAAAAGCTAGAAAACAAGGAGTAAAATGAAAAGGAAGAGATGTTGAAAAAAGGACTTAAAAAAGGACATACTCTATATACAGTGGTTTTATTGCAATTTTTCACAACCATGCACGTATTATCTTGCACAAATTCAACTATGTATGTTCGACCAGAAAAAAAGGAAGAGAAGAAAATGGAGGAGGAGACAGAAGCCACATAAATGCCATGCCATTCCGTCTGCCACTCCACTCCACATTTGAACTCCCCTGGGTGTGTGCGGCTGTGGGGTCCCCTTCTTTCACATTCTGCCAGACTCATGAGCATGTCACTGTATGTGTACAGATATTTATTTTTCAAAGAATACAGTAAGTTGTTTTACCCTCAAATCCTCTATGCTTTAAGGGTGTGAAGAGCTCATTGAGTGATTCTGACATAATCTTTATCTGCTCACCAACTCCAGAGCCTAACTCCTGGTAACATACAACTCTGCTGTAATCACAGAATTTTATAYAAAATAAAAATCACTATGTACAATTATAATGCACCAATTTTTTAAATGTGRGGGAAAAAAGAAAAGAAAAACCACTTTAAATCAGGGACAAATGGAAATCCAAAAACACATCTATCTTACCGATAGAATTCACAAGTTTATGCAAGACTCAAGACAGGCATAGCTACTGGAGGACAATTGGAGGCGTCTATCACAATGTCTAAAACTTTCCTGAGATGGTTCCTTTGCTCTTGCAGACTAGAGAAATCCAGCACTTCTAACTCCTTTGTCCATTTTCAACATCAACCTCTGGACTATCTTCAAGAATATTATCTTTCTTTTTAAGGAGTAGCTAGAAACAAGAACTGTTAAGCACACCAGATGTTGCCGCCCCGTGGCTTGTGCAGAGGGTGGAGCTCCACTGTTCTGTGTCCAAAACATTTCCCAGAATAACTGTACTTGTGTTGCTCTGTTAGTATAAAGCACCATCCCTAAGGTGTCTCACTACCACCCTGTGCTTTTATTTGATTGGCCCCTGGCCAAAGCCAWGGGACTCAGAGAATTTTAAGTAATTCCCTACTGTGGTAATGATAGAAAACTATATCCACACACCTTTCCAAGCGGAGCCTATTTTCTCTCAGTAAACATCTACACTGTTTAATTAAATATTCTATACCGAGCAGATTAATAAGCAGCTGTTAACTGACTGCAGGAAAAAGGAAATATGGTTTACTTCACAATTTTAGGAAACTGGCTAAAAGATCTAAGTTACCTTAACTCTTTCTCTTTTGCCCCCAGCAATCAACTCTTGATTTCATTAGTTTATTTCAGGAAGAAGATGCTCAGAAGCCTACCCTCCAGACCTTCGCAATTACTTTACCACTCCATGCCAATGAAGGGGAAGATGGCAAGACTCAAATGAACTAATGTTGCTRTGGGAAGAGAATTCAAGAGGCAAGATAAAAAAGGAAGAATCGCATTTCTCTCAACTACACACTTCCCTTATCCATGACAACAGATATCAAGAAGGCAGAAGGGGGCGACTGTTATTCACAAAGTGTCTTCCAGGTTAGCTACCCTGATCCTCAAGGGACTACTCCAAGGTGAAGCCTCCTTACATCCTTACCTTGACCCATAAAAATAAGTCCTCTCCTCCTCAAGAGGAAAYAGTAGTCTTTTTCTACCTTCTTTTTCCTAACTGGTGAGCTTGGGAAGAGAGCCTGAGCACAAGTAGCTTAGTCTCCTCTGGGCTTCTGGTTTTAGACAGGCCATACAATATTGATCTTCCAGAAAATAAAGCTCTAACTTCTAAAAAGATACAGAGAGAGAGGGCTGGGGATGTGGCTCAAGCGGTAGCGCGCTCGCCTGGCATGCGTGCGGCCCAGATTCGATCCTCAGCACCACATATAATCAAAAATGTTGTGTCTGCCGAAAACTAAAAAATAAATATTAAAATTCTCTCTCTCTCTCTTTCTTTAAAAAAATAAAAATAAATAAAAATTAAAAGATACAGAGAGTGAGAYAGGGAAAAGCAAGTAAGACCTCATATGTACTTTCTTTTTTTTTTTTTTTTTTAAAGAGAGAGAGAGAGAGAGAGAATTTATTTATTTAGTTAGTTAGTTAGTTTTTGGCGGACACAACATCTTTGTTTGTATGTGGTGCTGAGGATCAAACCTGGGCCGCACGCATGCCAGGCGAGCGCGCTACCGCTTGAGCCACATCCCCAGCCCCCTCATATGTACTTTCAATTCAAGGAGAAAACAGTAAAAAATCCCAAATGGAGTCACAGTACAAAGCTATGATCTCAAATTCAGCTTTATTAATAACAAAGTTCACATTCTGATTTTCATCTGCCTGTCTTTGCAT